ATAGCTGGCTCGAACCCAGCTGTTTTGGCTCAGAGCTTGTGAATGGAGGGTGTTTCATCTGTCTCAAGCAATTAGGCATATTTCATCCATACATCTTGAGATAACTACAAAAGGAATCGAGGATATCAAAATGTATGCGTAGGTTTAATACATATTCCAGTGGATTAACTTGTAAATTTCTCTTAAACAAATTTGATGAATGTTTTAGAGAGCAACCAACAAAGCGTTATGCTTCTTTTTTAAACTCATAAAGTACTAGTATAGAATAAAAAAATAAAATAAAATAAAATAGAGACGCCAAGATACGCAGAAGCCCCTCGTTATGAAAAAAAACTCCTAGTAACACTTGAAAACCCAATCATAACCGTAAAAATAAAAAAATATAACTTTCGTTTCTTTATTTTTATATAAAATGTAATAATTATGTCTGTACTTGAAACTACTACTGTCTTTTGCTTTCATACTAATAGAATAGTGTATGAGAAATAGCTTGAAACCAATAACTCAAAGAATAGTTTATTAAGGTAGACCGTGACAGAAATCTCATCCAATTTCAGTTCTTACAGGTGTAAATAAAGGATTCTGGAAACTGTTCAACAATCTCCAAACCAACTTAGTCGTCAAGAAACGTTAAGTTTCCACAGAAAATTTAACATTTCATCTTCAACCAACTGCGAAACAACAGACACGACTAATCATTTACCGTGCCTTCCAGTGTTTTATGATAATTAAATCGAGAGAATAATAGAGGTACGACGTTGATAAATTTATACTTTGGTACAGAAGTAGTTACTTTGTGCATAGTTACAGTATTATCTCATTTACAATGTTAAAAATTTACAATATGCAATGTACATTATAACATATAACAATTTTACCACTTTTGAGCTTTAACATTATAATGCATGGATTTACAACTACAGTATTCGTTTTCACAGTGCTCCAGAAATAAATCAGGCCCGAGAGATATTCCTAAAATCGTAGTCCAAGAAACTGCACAACTGGTGGGTGGTGTAATAATTTTAGTTTAGCGAACTTCCAACTAACTCGAGAGGTTTTCGTGTAATATGAATAATTTAGACAATCAGTTTTATAACAAAGATTGAGGTAAAAGATATATTGCACATCGAGATTGAAAATGAAAGTACTTTAGGTGTAGCATGTCTTAAGTAGTGTGGTACACCTTGAACTTGTATTTATACACTTGTTTCAACAAGCCATATTAGCCGAAACTCTAACTGGCTTCTGTGGCTCTTGCTAATTTCAACCTCATGAAACCAATATACCTCCCTCCCAGGTATATATAGGGGATGTGGGAAGGGGAGGAGAAACAACTATCCTCCCCTAATTGGATATCGTACGGTTTCTTCAAAGGGATGACGTACGATTCCAAAACTGCAGATATTTAAACACCAGTTACAACGATATTTTGTTTGGTGTATACAATATCATACAACTATATATAATTTCCTCGTCAAAGTCTATTGATCTTAAAAAAGTATTATTTTTGATACTGATAAATAATTATTTCAGGAACTGCACTTAAAATATATTCATATAACGTTTGTATAATTATTATTATTTTGATGGCACGGGGTGGATGGAGCTAGTCTAAATGTAAATTCGGGTAAATTGACATTCTTGAAACACGTATCATGTTCCAACCATGATATTGTGATTCAATTCTGCAATAATCGACGACACAAATTAAAAATATTGTATTTAAACATTTTTGATTAAGGTGCTTTGTGTTATTTGGATACGTAAGGCAAATAAAATTTAACATAGAGAATGAAGGAGAATCAAAACAATATCCAGACAATAAATTTATAGTGGAACTGTCCCCATAATACGTGAACAAAAACAGTTTTGTTCTGTACTATATTAGATCAGCTGGTTTATTAAGCTGTTCTCATAACACAATATTTACCATGATTTGTAGTGTTTGGATTTGATGTTTTGTAAATTTAAATACCAAAATGATTACTCGTTCTATAAGAAGTACTGGTGAAGTACAATTGTTGTGTGCTGACACTCCACAACATTGTAAAGAAACACTTCAACTTATCTCAACCATCTCACTTGTCATAAAACAACCAGACATAAACTTTACGTTCTTGTACGCTTTACACTATCACAAAAGTGTGGCATTTGGAATAAAAGGCACTTTGGAAAGTTAACGTTATTCATTAATATGTATTACAAAATATACAGAACTTCATCACTCAACTCTTTGCATAGTTGGTATTTGATATGATAACAATCTTCACCGCATAAAATACATTCAGAATATACGCCACGGTACCGACCGACAAATATGAAATTTTTTGTGAATTTTTAGTGGTAAAAATATTTACTGTATATTCAAAAGTGAACATAAACCTGCCTTCTTTTCAAAAGCTACAAGACAACGTCTATAGTGCAATGATTAGTAAAGTTGACGAACCTTTTTACTTAATCGTATTATCTTTCACCACAACGAAGTCTGTGTTCGGATTTCCTCATCCTTTGTCTTGGTTTATAATTATCAACAAAAGGTAAACCAAAACTGATATTGCCTCATTAACCTGACTATCAATTTCCTCAAGATATGTTTAAGCATGCTGTTAACCTTTTTTTATCATTACCTTTATACAGTATAGCCCTACTATGAAAACAATACTTGTAGTCTACATAACAGCTTGTTATTGTTTGGGTTTGGATTGGTGTGTTGACTGTTGTGAGTTTTTTTATTTGTTTGTTTACAGGTTATTCGTATTGTGTTTGCAATTCTTTGGAATTGAATAGGTTTGCCTTAGCGGGCCTTGTATTAAATGCTGGTAGTCAATGGTTTCATGGGTAGACCACTATTTTATACATAACGCAAAAATTACTACTCATTAAACTTTTTAAAAACATTTAACTACCCTGCAATAATCTTCATAATCATATTAAAATACATGGCGACTGTCTCATCTTCAGCTAAATCCTCTTCCTCGATTTGTCGTGTTCAAAATTCAACACGGGTATTCTAAATACGCGGTTAGTTTTTGTGTTAAATGTGTTTAATCGTTAACGTGTGTTCCGTATATTCGTGAATTTTATATTTGAATTATTTGAGAGATTAGTGTATACTACCTAAAGATGTGTATACTACCTAAGGATTAATGTATAGTACCATAGACAAAAAGAATTATAGTACCTAAAGATGTGTCAGTCACCACGGAACCTATGGTTTACTAAGGTAATTAACTATTTTGCATTTAAATAAACCAGGAAAATCAATTCTAAATAACCACAAGCTCTGAAATTCATATAGTAAAAACAGAATTAAATTTACCAATGCATTTTAATAACAAATTATGAAACATTACAGCTTCATGTAACTAACACGTTGCATTTCGTATTACCTGCTGTGCATTCTAAGAGATTGAACTAAATGTATATTCCTGCACAGTGCATGATGCTATGTTTAATGCATTTCAGCATCATACAACACATAATAATGATATGCAAACACTATCAACATGTGTGGAGATGTATGATCCATAAAACACACATTATAACCATCTATCTTGTTTTTCAGATAATGATTACTATTGGTGGAAAATATCGCTGTCAATAAATTTTAAGTAAAATTTAACTATAAGTAAAACTGATTTGTCTAGACTCTGGAAAAAAAGACCAACTGAGATATTTAAACAATAATCAAAACAAAATTATTGTTACGGAACGTTTTGAACGTCTTTTTCACTAACTATTTCATTTGATGCTACATTTTACTTTATTCATACTTTACTTATATTCTCATAAGTGAATCAATAATGGATTTAATCTTTTACAATGTATTTTTAGTCCCTCAAAAATATTCTTATTCAGTCATACTTTGTAAAATACATTTATTCTCAGAACACAATACATGCATGAATAACAACGTCAAAATAAAGTGACAATGCATTGAAAAATAAATTACACGACAATCTACTAGGTGGTGATAAGTTTAGTATTGTTCACAGAGCAGTATGCAATACAACCTTCTGCATCATAAATACATCCACAATTGATAACAACAGTTTCTTGCATTTCCAATGCCACTGATTGTTATTGCTTAAAGATAACGGCAATACGTTTCAGAACTTAATTCTAAAGCATTAACCTTGGAAATCTCCTTGCAAAGTCAAATTGTTAAATTACAAAATTCTCTTTCTAGGTACATGCAACACTGTTCCTAGAAATAGTATAACGTGGTAATAACTCAATTTGAGCTTAATATTAAATTAATACTCACATTTATCCTTGAAAATAGTTTTACATTTTGCTAATTTGGAGCAGGAGTGTAGAATGTGGTATTAAATTTGCCCACACAAACAAGGTATTGATGTTTGCATAATCCGTAACTTCCCTATTGTAATTTTATGTGGTATTAGCTCTGGAGTAATGATTTTAGTCCAATAAAACATATATTAGACTAAAATCTTAGGGAAAATACGATTTCTTAAAAAGTTATGGTTTAAATTACATAATCAACAGACTTTATACGGTAATAGTTTAATTGTAGCGTATAGTACCGTATTTTGTTATAATTAAAATAACTGGATGTAAATAGATACACAACTAGATTGCGTCACATTTTCAGTTTGCTAAATCGATTTTGATAGCTGACATATACACGAATCCTTACATGTATAAACATATTTTAAACGTCAAATACGTCCTTTTGTGACAATTTTTTTAGGCTTATTGTACAAAATGTTTTATACCTCTCACGCTGTCTGATCTTATCACCCATACAGACAGCCATTAACACTGCAGCTGCTCACCATTGGTTATATATATACAGGACACCAGGCACACACACACCCACGCTGCACGCTGCACGCTAGACAAGTAGACAGGCCACAGACACGATTGTGCCACTTCCCCCCTACCTCACAATCTGAATTCTGAGTTCACTTGCATTGCAGTTAAGTTTAGTTCGGTCCAGACTTCAGTTAGTGTTGTGTCTCCGCGCGCGTAGCACGGCAGCTAGCGAGTTTCTGGTTTGTCAATTTTCGATAGTAGACCTATCACATAATTGGCTACTCTAGGAATGTGATATTGAAATAAATCCGCTGTTGGAAGTTTGAAGTGGGAGTGTATCTCGATACCGTTGGATTTTGCAATTGGAAGTTCTGTGGAGTGTGAGTTTGTGCGGTGCGCTTTGTTTTTAACTCGCAATAGTGAAGTTTTGTGAAATAACATGTAGAACTAATTAAGTGGATTTTGATGTTCTGTGGATAAACGCCCTTTATTTGATGGTCAAAAAGGTAAGGCATGAGATTAAATACTTAATTAACTTTCTATGGACAATATAGCCTGGGTATCTCATTAAAGTCACACATAAATTCGTATTTAGTTGAAAATACTTGTACCGGTACTTACTCGAAGTGCAGTAGATTTTTTCTTAGTAAAAGAATGAGTCAGTCTTCTATCATGGTGGTAAAAATTAATGACGGTAGAAAATGTCCAATGTAATTAGGTGCACAATATCTTTGAAACAGAAAATAAAGGTGATTCGTAAAATTACAGTTATACAGAACTATTAACGTTCCTGATTCGAGTGTATCCATGCTGGAGATGTAGGCTACGTCTATAAAATACTTAAATTCATTACATGTCGGAGTTGGTTCAAAGCTTAATAACTTCGTGAGACCTAATGGATAATGAAACACACTATTACACATAACCTTGATCGAGATTACAATCCTTAAATGGAAATGCTTGAATACAATGCAGTAACAAGCTCTGATCAGAAATTCTTCCACCTTGATAAGGAGAAAGCTGCAGACCTTTACTAGTATACAGGGTGTTCATTTGAAAACTTTCCATATCTGTTGTGTGCAAAGGTAAGGCTTTTAACACTTGTTTGTTCTCATTTCCCCCTAATTTGGACATGCCAAATTCAATAAAATTATTTTCAATTTTGAAAAATGCCCCAAAAGGGCCCAATTTGGGGGGTAGGGGTGCTTTTTGAGAAATTTTCAAATGTAAACATGGGCTGTGTGATACATCAATTTAAAGGTCTAATCACCCCGATCATTTTGGTGCAAAAAAAGTTTAATTATCTTTAACCGTATTTACAGGGTGGGTCAAAACGTTTTAAAAAAGGACTTTGAAGTTAAGTACCGTATTACCCTAACTACTGAACGGAACAGCGCCAAATTTCTTTCCAAGCTTATTCTTGAGCTACTCTTTAAGATAACTTGTAGTAAGGGCATTTTCCAAGTTATTTTCTAATTTTAAAAAAATCTCAAATTTTAAGAATAAAAGAAAGCTGAAAACTCAAAATTCTTAAATAGCAAGGTATAACAAATTTCATACCACGTGAAAGGTCCTTTTTTAACAAACATTTTACGTATTTAAGTTTTTTTTCTATCTCTTGCCGTTTAAAGATTGCAGTGGAAAAACATAATTTTCCATGGTAAAATTATAACTAGTTTTCTAATAAAACACATTGCACTTTGTTCAACGATGTAGTAGGATTCATAACAAATTGATCGACTACTTTTACGTGTGTCAGAATTCATCTTGGACCCTTCATCCTGTTCTTTTCTCATTGGTAACTGAGCCAGTTTCAGAAAACTTCCTAACTAAATCATTTACAGCCATATGACTCAAGGTTATACCTGGATATCTATTGTTAAACACTTTGCAGTTATCCTGGAACACTTTTGTTATGACCAATAAGTAAAATAAAGTATATTTTTTTAAGTTTACACCATATTTGATTAGGTACTACAGGAAATGGTACTTTTGAAATTAGTACTACCATCGACTAGTCAATGGTACTACAGAAAGCGGCCCACGCTTGGGTTTTTCTCATCAGCTATAAAACTTGTTTCTCACAAAGTAAAACGTAATGACTTGTTTGCCTATCTGCCTAAAAATAATTATGAATTGTTTCCTTCAGTTATTGCACCATTTAATGTGTCTAGAGACGAATTTTGGCTGTTTTATTAGAAAACTAGTTACAATTTTACCACAGAAAATTATGTTTTTCTACTGCAATTTTTAAACGGTAAGAGATAGAAAGAAAACTTAAACACGTAAAATGTTTGTTAAAAAAGGACCTTTCACGTGGTATGAAATTTGTTATACCTTGCTATTTAAGACTTTTGAGTTTTCAGCTTTCTTTTATTCTTAAAATTTGAGATTTTTTAAAATTAGAAAATAAATTGGAAAATGCCCTTACTACAAGTTATCTTAAAGAGTAGTTCAAGAATAAGCTTGGAAAGAAATTTGGCGCTGTTCCGTTCAGTAGTTAGGGTAATACGGTACTTAACTTCAAAGTCCTTTTTTAAAACGTTTTGACCCACCCTGTAAATACGGTTAAAGATAAATAAACTTTTTTTGCACCAAAATGATCGGGGTGATTAGACCTTTAAATTGATGTATCACACAACCCATGTTTACATTTGAAAATTTCTCAAAAAGCACCCCTACCCCCCAAATTGGGCCCTTTTGGGGCATTTTTCAAAATTGAAAATAATTTTATTGGATTTGGCATGTCCAAATTAGGGGGAAATGAGAACAAACAAGTGTTAAAAGCCTTACCTTTGCACACAACAGATATGGAAAGTTTTCAAATGAACACCCTGTATAATTGGACAAGCAATGCACCTAGAAGTGGCACCCAGCTAAATTGAGATTAAGTGCAATCTATTTTCGTGTTGCAGATGTCAGTGAGAATTGAGTCTGTACACCAAATTTGGTTGTTTTTATATTTTCATCCACATCATGCTACTAAGGTATAAAAACAGGAATAGAAATGAAACACGTGTGAATTGCAAAACTGTAGGGATAATAAGTAAAACATAATAACCTTTTTAGCAAATTTTTCATATAACTCAGGAGCCTATTACTCATGGTCTCATGGTAAGACTAGTAGCGGGACCGATTTTCTTTTTCGTTTTAAAGGCCCAAGAGTCCAAAATACCATCCCTTAAGATACGTATACAGTATTAACATATTTATAATTATGCCATTTGGTATAAAACGTGTAAACCTACGTTTATTTTAACGAGTTTCCCAAACAGCATGATCGGACCGTGGAATTGTAATTTTATGGGGTGGAAATGTGGTTTCCCATAGTCAAATGTTATCAAATTTGGCCTTATGATAATTTTTAAAATTTCATGTTGAGCTAATGACTTTTTACTTAATACCTACTTTATTACCATCCATATAAGTTAGCAGCAATCCTGAGTAGGCTTACAGTACTCATCAAACCTGATAACATTTAAAAAGGGAATACATCTTCCATTTTAAATACAATATTTATTTAGTTGTAATCAAATCAGACAAATGGAAATTCCCGTAGTCTCCAATTTTTCTGCGGCTTGGATATTTTAAAATCTTTACTTCATGTTAAAATAGTTTAATAGGTCCTTACAAATAAGCTTTCTATCCACCCAACATAAAACAAACCCAATGATAATGATATCGAGGGAAAGTATCATGATGTACGTCAACTCGTGTTGAATAAATACTTTTATTCAAAATACATACTTCCCTAAATACAAGTTGATTTTTGTATGAGTACAACTACCTTGCTATATAATACAGTAGGCCTATGTGTAACTGCACTCCTAATGGAGTCCAAAAGACAGTGAAAACTATTTGCAGAGGTTAATTTAATTTTCGACATACTGTTGGGTAATTCCAACGTTACTTTATCATTGAATAACTCACATCTTGATAGGCTTGATAAATTTAGAGGCAAACAAGGCTAAAATTCTTTATTCGAACGTTATAATCCCTTTAATTGGGCATTTTAGGTTGAAATATCAATACGGAATTTTTTATTTGCCTTAGATAAAAATTAAAATAAAATATTAAATAGAAGAACTTCTTTAGAGAAATTCAACGTGAACTAACACCCACCTTTATTGGTATTATCCTCAATTACCAATAAACAGTGTGTAAATTGAACAGCGGAGCAATATTTCTTGATCAGGAAAGCGAATCTAATTAATTAGTGTAAACGGAGCTTCCGACGATAAAACAAACATTGTCAAGAAAGAGAAGCCGCAGCAAGACGTGATGAGGGTCCACCGAGAATTAGGTTGGAGATAGGTTTGGTAATCCCTATGTGAAAGCAATACACTTAGGAATAATAGATTGCCTCTGCTGAGACACTTTGCACGTATTGCCTTGTTTGTATATAATCATACATACATATTATGTATATTTATGGAATGTCTAGGCTACCGGCAACTCATCGCGTTTTTACTAAACTGTAGTGTACCAAAATTAATTTATTCTTCAATGTATTAACGTAATTATAAGAATTAGGCTATTGAAAACATGTCTGGAATTATATGTTAAAATTTTATGATACTTGGATTGAGGAATTAGCTGTTTACCTCTGCTGCTAATTATTTATATATTTAAACATATTTTTAAGTGGTAGCGAATATTATCAGTGCTCACACTAAAAAGTTCTCTGTTAACTTATTTTAGCCAAATTAGCTAGAATAAAATCAAAGTATTCAAAACATGGTCTTGTATTAATAAATTAGTACAGGGCCTCTAATCTCTGTAGGTAGTTTTAATAATTCAAGGTAGCTTTTTGTTTAGGCTAGAACAATTGTCAAGGTAGTTTTACGTTGAAAATATCAAAAGCTCTAAACTTCTTACAAAGTCAGACGACTTTGCCCAAGGGAGCCTCATATTCATATTGTTAAATTCATGTAATTCAATTAGGTACCAATGACATGCACCTACTCCAAAGTCTGTTTGCATTACTTATTGAAAGTGACCAGAATTTCACATACAGTATTATTCATTGATATATAAAATAAAATAAAAAACAAAAAACAATTGACCTTTACAATTTCTAATATATTTAGGTGGTAATTTTTCATAAACCGTTTTAAAAGTCTTAATACGTAAAAATAAGTACATACGGAAGTTATCAAAGGCCTTCTGATAAAAACTTATCGAACAAAAACTGTCCAATAGAGTAAACATATGTCTAATCTCAACCATGATCCCAATCGAAATATCTCAACACTACGTAATATTATATCACATTTCTAGTCCTGTAAACAGGTTTTAGACGAGTGACGTTCGATATTTTACGCCATAATACTCTAAGCTAACTTAACAATAAAATATCTACAGTTCCTTATAATTCCCAACGAATAAACGACTAACAATCACCTCTCAATCACCTCAATCGCCTCTGTGAGAGGTTATGTTTTTGTTTATAACAACTTCTTGCCAAATATAATCAGCTGGTTGGTGTCCAGTAAAAACTCATTAC